CTGACAGTCCTATGAATTGTGCAAGTGTCTGACACAAAAACACGCTACCACTACTGTACTAGTGGAGAGGAAGAAAGGCATGAAGACTTCAAAATGGCAGCTAATTTAAAAATCACTTTGGACCAAGTCTTTGCTCATATGGGACATGACAGTATTTGATGAATCAAGAAGTAATAACAGTGCAAACAATGATCATCACTATTCCTCAAAAGGAAACCACCCTCCCCTCTAGGTCCTAACATCTGCTACTAACTCCACCCTCTGTCCCAGCCCTGACTTTTTGAAGCCCTAGCAGCACCAGGGCCCAGCCTGAAGGGACATGTGAAGGGACGCATTGGGCTGGGAGGAGGTGCACCTAGAGAGAGCGCCAGAACTCCGTGGAACAGCGGACAGAGGTGAGCAGACCAGGTGCTCTTCTATACAATTAGGTAATTAAAGCACGTGATTGGTCAGAATACAGCAGGTGCTGCATCAGACAACCGAAGCCAAATGTGTACCACATATAGGGCCTAAACAACACTTCTAGAACCGAGAGCTATCTGCTGGGTCCCTGAAAGCTGCTTTCCAGGCTGTGTCAAGAAATGCCAGGTTTCCTTGTGTTCATCTGCCAAATGTTTCCCTGGGACATGCAGGGTGGAGACAGCAGTCATATGGTGGAGAAAAGGCAAGTCTACAGAGCAACCTACGGGCAACCTCAATCACCTGGAAGTCTTAAGAAGAATATTTGCTTCACTAACCTTTCTCATCAATTTAGTATTGATCAGAAATCTCTTTCTGTTGAAACTTTTAAGCTGGAATTGCTTTTTTAAGCTGGAATGTTGAGTTTCTTGTCTCAGCATGAACAGTTGAATGATGAAGCTGGTACCCTGTTTTAGTGATCTGGGACTCTGCATGGCCTGAGGCTCATTCTTTGGGTTGATGATCATTACCTTTCTTTTTTGACGATCATTATTTATGCTGCCTTTGTTAATGTCATGGCAAATAACACCCTTGAAGGTAATCTTACTCTCTCTTTTTACTGTAATTTAAAACTGATTAAGTACATGACCTTATGAATTTGACCTGATTAATCAAGGCTCCTGGCTAATCAAGGGAAAGAGAACAACAGGGACTGAATGGTGGTTTGTTGGCAGATGGCGTGTCCCCAGGAAACTAAAAAGGCTTGAAGTTAGTGCCTGAAGGACCATCAGATCTACCTGTGGATGGATACCAGGGTAGGAAGGTAGTTTAGCCCAAAGGGGACATACAGATGTCTGTTCATGACAATGAAGCATCAACAGTCCCCAGGGTCAGTGATCGGACTTTGTCTTCCCAGCATCAAAAGCAGTACTTGGCACACAGCAGATGTTCAATACAAATTTGTCAAATGAAAGGAGGTTTGCCTACCCGATCTATCCTTCACAGATTTCATCAGATCACCAGTCAGTTGTCCACGAGCCATCCACCATCTATCCCTCTCTCCATCTAGTATTTATATGCAAACCATATGTGAGGTGCTAAACTGTGATCTATAGGGGATTCGAGGCTAAATAATATACAGCTCCTTATGCAAAGTCAGGCATCCCTCTGTTTCAAGGGACTTTTTAAAGGAGAAGGAATGATAACTGGTGGACTTTACAGAGTAGCTTGAACACAAACTGCATTCTGATATGACATGCCTTCACTCCTCCATCCACTCTTCACCTTTGGCAAATCCCTTGAAGGTTCAGTCTGTGAGCTTCTGAAGGGAAACTTCTGTCTTCTTGTCCAGATGTGGTGTAGGCACTGGTCATTGCCTAAGCAGGACGCTGGGCTAGCTTCACCGATAATTCCACCTGAAACAGCTTTGTCCTGCTTGTTTCCTTGGTAATGAACCAAACAAAAGCTTCTTCCAACCCTTCCCACGCCTCCTTACTCCATTTCACGTTCTCTCTTTTCGGAGTCTGGGGATGCTCCAAGAGGGCAAATGTGAAGTTCTGAGACCACTTCAGGGCTGCAATTTCCTGGATGGTAAGAAAACTTCCAGCATGGTGCTCTGAGGCCGATTCTGGGCACTTGTTAGAATGTTTACATCAGGAGAAGTACGCCTTTCTCCACCCACTATCCCCAATGCCCCCAAACCCGCCAACTGTCTCTTGCTGCAGTTCAGAATAGGAACTACTTCTCTCTGGTATCACGTCAAAGAGAATATAAATGAAGAGTCCAACAAAGGATTCTGGAAATTGCCCCTCCTCAAAGGGCAACATGACCACTTATCCTAGGATGTAGCAATGGGTCTATATTCTAGAGGATGATCTGAAATTTAGAACCATTCTTTATGATGACTAGGTTTGGCTTCTGTCTTTGCTTTAATTTTACTTAGCTATATGGATCTCTCTCTCTCTCTCTTTTGGAATCCAAGTTTTTTTTGTTTGTTTGTTTTTTGTTTTTTTTTTCCTTTACACAGTGCTTTTCTCTAAGTGCAAACCTCTAATTTGGTGACATTCAGATTCAGACCTGGGCCTTTGCATCACACGTGACACTATGATCGGCAATGTGCTTTTCTTTTTTAAGCTTTATTTAAATTCCAGGTAGCTGCAATGTGCTTTTTGAGACCATTCCTTTCGGCCCTAGATCACAACAGTACATTATACTCTCTGGGCATAGTCCGGTCACATGATCCTTTCTGTTTATGCCCCTTGCACCTGCAGTTCTGAAGTCATAGGGCTGAGAAACCACTTTGATTCTGATTCATCGTCACAGTGCTGAGGAAGGCCAAAGTCACAATCCCTATTCCACAGGTGGGGAACCAAGGCACAGAGAGGTGATCTACCCAAAGTCACTCAGTAAGTCAGAAAACAAACTGAACAGAGGGCAAGGTAAGATCACCTGTGTACCTTCCAGTGCGTTATCCAGAAAACCAGATTGCAGTCCTTCTCAAATGAATGTAGGTACTTTGGAAGAAAGTAGTTTTACGTGGAATTTCCTATTCACGTTTCAAAAGCTCTCTAGGAAATCAGGAGCCACAAGGTAAGAACCAGTAAGTATCAAATTAACCTTTTAGTCAAATGCCCCGACTCACAGACAATACCCTTTATTCCAGCTAGCTCACTGATAACCTGGTTACCGGCAAGAAGAAAATTAGAGGGAAAAATTCATCCATTCAAGAAATAAACCTTGGCACAGCTCCTGTGTAACACCTAAGTATTGCTCCCTTCCACACAATGCTTTTGTACCTGCTGGCATGCAATGGGGGGGGGGGTGTACGGTTGGAGTGTGCATATATATATGTGTGTGTGTAATACCAGACATTTTAGGGACAATTCTGCCCAGCAGAATATACATGAAACATGTCTAATATAGTAGTTCTCTACCCTGATTCTTTTTTTCTTTTTTGGTAACTTTTATTTCCTGATCCTGATTTAATGTAAAATGTAATGTTTTCCGTGATGAAGGCAGAGTCAGTGGGTGGATATGGCCAGGGGGCTGATTTCAGCTTCATGGGAAGAAAGAACTCTAGGCATTAAAGTTGCCCAAAGACAACTGAATGGGACTTTTGGGACCAGGGAGTGGCCTGGTCTTGCAAGTATTTTCCCCCAGAAGCTAAATGATTATCTGCTGCAATGCACTGCCCCTTCCAATGCCCAGGAATCAATATTCCCAGAAACCAATTAGGCCAACAGCAGCCCTCCTGCTTCTCTACTCCAGGTCAAGAAAGGCACAAAGAAGACCAACAAATAATACTGAGGCGGTGCTTTGGATCCGGAAGACCTTGAGGTACCAAGAGAAGATACTGATGGCCCTGCCTGGCCAGTGGGAAAGGTGAGGCTCGGAGAGAATGATTCAACACGTCCAGCAAAGGTGGGGGGGAACCAGGAACTTAAGGGGGAACGTTCTCTTTTTCCCTCATGTGAGGGAGGAGGGGAAGCTACAGAACCAACAATAGCGACCACAACTCTCCACAGCAAAGCAGCCCCCACAGGAGATGACCCTCAGGGCAGCTGGGGACAGTTCCTTCCCCGAGGGAATCCTAGCTCCAGGCTCGCTGGGCCCACCCTCAGGGACAGCATCCAGGGCTGGAGATTTAGGCAGGACCAGCCTGGGCAGGCACATAAGGTAGCTCTGCTTCGTAAGGCATGGCTGATGTCTTTCGAGGAGTGGGCTCCACACTGGGAGGTGGGCATCAGACACGGCCTCCCCCCAAAGCTACCCTGCAAGAAAGCAGAATCCGGCGGAACAATGCTGCCTAGGGAACTCATCACCCCCGGGGGCTGGGGGCTTCCACTAAAGCGAAACAGCATCACCAAACCAACCGATTTCTTGTGTCGTTTGGGAGAATGAGAGGAAAAAAAGACAAATTGATCATTATTTGCAGATGATTGTCTAACTAGAAAGCCTATGGGAATCAACCAAAAAAAACTACCTTAACTAAGACCAGAATTTGCTCAAGTGGCAGTTTAAAAGTCAAGCGTACAAAAACCAATCGCTTTTGGGGTCCCTTGGCGTGGTCTAACACCTTGGAAGAGCTGTGCTTTTGTGCGAGTCCTCTGAGCTTTGTGCAACTTGCCATTATTTAAAAAGATGGAGGTGAGCCAAGGCGCCGCCTCCTCAGCTGCAGTAACCAATGTCACCTCAGACACCCACATGCGGAAGGTGCCTGGGCTGACTGCTGCAGAGGGGGGCGGCCACTGCTGCACCCTCTCCGACGGGGGCCCTGCCCCAGTCCCGACTCAGGCCCCCTCTCCCCGCTCTTTTTCTATTCCACCCCCAAAGACACACTGGGAAGCTTGGCGGGGGCCGCTGCGGGAGCCACCAAGGGGATGTGGTTAAAGATTGTGCTATGTCATTTCCAAATGAAGTCCGATTTTTCAAAGGCCGTGGGCTGGCAGCTCTCCTATCTGTCCTCTCATTGCCTCATTGGTCGGGAGCCTGGCGAGGCCGCGGCGCTGGGCCCCGACGGCAGACTTCCACAGTCTGGTCATAAAGGCCAAGGGAGGCCGCGCAGGGTTGAGCGGGGCCTCCTGGCCAGCTCAGGGCCGCGGTCATTTGCGGTCCAGGCTGGCGTGCAGCTGGGCTTCCCGCACCATGCGGTCGAAGGAGCGCGTGTTGGTCTCCTCGCGTACCTTCTCCCGCACGTGGAAGGAGGCTCGGGCTGTGGAGCGGGCGGTCTCCAGCGCGCTCCGCCGCTCCCGGGACAGCTGCTCGCTCCGCTCCAGCTTGCGCCCGATGGCCTGCAGCAGCTCCTGCCGGCGGCAGTCTTCGTCCCTCTCCACCTTCTGCTTATTGGCGCGCTGGGCCCGCTCCTTCTCCAACCGGCTCTGGCCCACGCGCCGCGCCTTCTGCTGCACGGCTTCTTCGGCTGCCTGCGTCGCGTGCTGCAGCCGCCGCTCCCCCGCCCGGGCCAGCGCCTCCAGGTGCGCCTGGTGCTCGCGCTCTTTGCGCTCGGCCACCTCCTTGGCCCGCCGGCCCTGCAGCTCCTCCCGCCGGGCCCGCTCCCGCAGCTCGCGGGCGCGCTGCTCCACCAGCTGCTCGTAGTTCTCCTGCGCGCGGCCCAAGCTGGCCTCCAGGGAGCTCCGCAAGCCCTCTCGCTCCGCGCGCTCCTGCCGGGCCCGGCCTTGCAGCAGCGCCTCGTGGCGCGCCCGCTCCGCCCGGCTCAGCTCCCGCTTCTCCCGCTGCAGCTGGCCCTCCTGCCGCTGCTTGGTGCGGGCCGCGCGCTGGGCGCGCTCCCTGCGGACCAGCTCGGCCCGCTCGCGCCCTTCCTGTAGGCCCTCCTCCCGCTGCTTCAGGTTCTGCTCCTGCTGCAGCTTGCGCAGCCGGTCCTCCTGGGCCGCGCGCTCGACCCGCTCCCGCCGCAGCAGGCCCTGGCGTTCGGCCAGCTCCCGCCGCCGCTCCTCGCTGCGCTCGCACTGCCGCTGCCGCCGCCGCGCCTCCTCGCGCTCCTCGCGCCCCCGACGGCCGCGCCGCTCCTCCACCTGCGCGGCCCAGGCCCGGCGGCCCTGCTCCAGCGCACGCTGCTTCTCCCGCTCCTCGCGCTCCCGCCGCTGCTCGGCGCGCACGCGCTGCTGCTCCCACTGGCCGTGGGCCGCGGCGCGCTGCTCCAGCAGCAGGCGTTCCTCCTGGTGGCGCGCCAGCATCAGCGCCGCGATCTTTCGGTCGCGATCCGGCACCCCGCGCAGGCCCCGCTCGGCGCGCACTTGGCGCACGATGCGCTCCACATGCTGAGCCGTCTGCGGAGAGTGGCTCAGGTCACCCAGGCTGAAGCTGCGGCCGGTGAGCGGCACCAAGGCCAGGGCGGAAGGGCGGCCCAGGGGGTTGGGGGCGGAGGACGCGGAGCCCGCGGGGCAGCTGTTCCTGGCCGAGGCCCGCGGAGGCCAGCGCAGCTCCCTCAGGCTCTCCCCGCTGTAGGACGACGACGACGCGCCAGACTCGGAACTGAGGGCGCCCTCGCGCCGGCGGGACAGCGAATCCAGCGAGTGGCTCTTCCTACCTGCCCGCGACGCCGCGGGCGGTGGTTGCGTCCGGGCCGGAGACCGGCTGGAAGAGGCCTTGCGGGCCGCACGCGGCGCGGGCGAGGCCGGGAGGCTGGCGCTGCTGCAGCTGCTGCTGCTGCCGCCGCCCGCGCTGGACACCGAGGCGGCGGTGGCCGCGGGCCCCAACGGCGTGAAGAGGCGCCGCTTCTCCTCGCGTACGATGCGCTCTCGCTCGGCCCGGCACTGCTGCAGCTTGGCGCGCCGCTCCGCCTCGTAGGCCTCGTACAGGCCGGTGGCCACCCGCATGGAGCGGCCCGGAGCCTCGCGCACCAGGTCTGCCAGGGCCCGTGGCAGCAGCTCCACTGGCTTGACGGCGCAGCGCGCGCAGGCCTCCAGCGAGCGGGGACTGGTCAGCACGTAGCGGCTGCCCTCGGCCTCCGGACAGTCGAAGTTGAAGAGGTCGAGGTGCAGCAGCGGAGACTGCTCCCGCCGCCCGCCTTCTTCCGCTGCGTTCGGGACTTCAGTCTTGCGGGGCGCCGCCGCCGAGGCCGAGGTGGAGGCCGAGGAGGCGTCGGGCTGCTGGGCGCCCTGTGCGTCGGGGGGCACAGATGCGGCGGCTGCGTCCCCTTCCGAACCTTCAGGCTCGGCTCCGGCCTTTTCCTCTTCCGGCACCGGGTCCACCATGGCTGAGCCCTGTCCTTTTGTGGAGTCCCTGCGGAGGACAAGGTAGGGACACCGAGGAATACATGAGAGCAGTTCCCCCCGCCCCATTCATATACACCCCCTCCCAATTTAATCAGCTTTGGGATTAGGCTCAGAGGCCCGGTGGAACGCAAATCATAATACCAATGCCCTGAAAACCCAGGCGGGGGGCGGGAGGAGGGGGCGGGGACTGGTGCAAAGAGAAAAAGCCTCAACCTCCCTCAGCCCGGGTGTGCCGGCCAGGGGCCTGGGGCCCGGCTTCCCAGGGCGTCTGGCCCGCTGGAGGCATCTCTTTCCCGCTGCAAGTTAGGATGAAAAGATCGCGGTGCAGGCAGTAGCCGGCCGGGGAGGCGGTGGAGGATTCCCGGTAGGATTAGTGTATTTGTTTGTAGCTTAGGCGGGGACCGGGGATGCAGCTTTGCAGGAACAAAAAAAGAAGAGGCCTGTTCATCCTCAAAGTGCATTGCTGCGAGGACCCCATTTGCCTAGGGACGAAGTTTATTTGGGATTAGGCTCAGAGGCCCTGTGATTTGTATGATTAAATTTACATGATGCATATTATATGATTGCCCCTTGCCAAAGGAGACCCGGGCCCGGGGCTGATGGAAGGGCTGAAAGAAATGCCTTAATTATAAAAGGCCTCCCCGGGAGGGGTGTTCGATTCTTGTTCTGTCTTTTGGGCAGGGCTTGCTGGGAGCTATGCCGGCCCCCCCTACCCCCACCCCCGCTGTTGGCTGGGGATGAAGGCGCCTGTGTCCTCTCAAATGCACCCGATCCCCTCCAAGTCTGAACGTGCTAAAGGCACCATCTACCCCGATCTAGCCTCGGACACCTGCCCCTGGATGCCCTCCGAGTGCCCCTACGGTATCCATGCGAGGTGGGCTCTGGGGATTCAGTTAGCCCGGCCACGCCAGTGCCCGCCGCTCCCGGGTCTCCGGGCGGGGTCACTCACCGCACGTCCCGGGCTTGGGCCCCGCGCCGAGGGCTTTTGTTCGCAGCTCGCCGCTCTCCCTTGCGCGTCTTCAATCCCCGCGCCCGCGGGGTCCGATTACTGCCGGCTGCAGCCGCGGTAGGAGCCCCGGCTGCCACCGCAGCCACGGCCAGCGTCTCTCCATGGGGCCCGCACACATCCCAGACGCTACCTACACGCGGGAGGGGGAGTGGGACAAGGGCTCCCTAAAATCCCGCGGCTCTGCTCCCTTCGCTCACGCTGATTCTTGAAAAAGGAAGCCGGGTTCCATCGCTGCTGCATCCCTCGCGGTCTCTCCAATGGTGAAGGTACAGCAGGTCTGGCGACGCCCCCGGCGCCTCCTGGTGGACGTTCAAGGGTGTGGGTTTGTTTGCTTAGAGGGCGAAGAAGAGAAATACATTATATATTTGGTGGAGATGGATATATATGTGTTTGGTGGAGATGGAGATCTATCCATCTCCATATATATATATATATATATATATATATTTGGGGAGGTGGATCTATATATATTTGGAGGGAGATGGGTATATATATATGTATGTATGTATATATTTGGAGGGAGATGGATATATATATATGTATGTATGTATGCATATATTTGGAGGGAGATGGATATATATGTATTTGGTGGATATGGAGATATATATATTTGGAGATGGATATACACACACGCACACACACACTTGATGGATATATCCACTGAGAAACCCTATTCCATAAGCACCTTAACTGGCTAGAATGAAGGAATAGCTTGGCTTGTTTCTCAAGGGGACCCTGAGAAACATATAAAGTTGATAGTGAATAATTGGATAGAAATAGGGTTCCTAATCCAAACTATGATTTTATTTTTTTAAGAAAAACTAAGAACAGATAGGTTTGAGGCAGGCAGAAAATGTGTGACTAGTGTTTAATGCGAATTTATAGGACTTCCTGGTCCCAGGTTACACACATTAGAACCAATTAGTGCCCTTTAATGAGTGTTATTTTGAGATACCTCCTCCCCACCTTTTTTCCGTTTGGAGTGGGAGGGGCCACAGAAGATAGATGGGTGGAGGACTGGAGGGAGGAGCTTGGCAGGTGGGTGGGACATTAGAGAACATGGCGAGCTATGTTGTTGATAACCTTGATGCTATCAGATAGGCCGTGGGGAGCAAATGAAGGATTGAAAGCAGGAAAACGACATGATTGGGTTTCTATTTTTGGAACATAATGCTAGCAACAATGGAGTGAAGGCTTTAGGGGGGTCAACAGGAGGCAGGAAGCCCTGTTAGCTGGACACTACAGTCACCCAACGCAGGGAAGATTAGGACTTGAGGGGGGAAGAGTAGCAGGAGTGGGCCTGGTTGGCCTGGGCCGTGTACAGAAATGTACACCTGAAATAGAAAAAGAATATTCAAAGATAGCTTGGCCCTGGGGGTGTGAGAAGCAGTGAAGGGTCAGAGATGACTTCCTGGAGCAGTGAGGTAGCTGGGTGCACCCAGTGAGAGCATGGAGCCAGGAGGGAGGGTTAGGTGATGTGGAGGGCCTGGGAAGGAGGGGTTCCTTCTTGGACCGCTTGAGTGTGAGGTGGAGCTGGTCAGCAGGTGGAGCTAGAGTTCAGGACATCATCCCTATACACAAGGTTGCTACAACCAGCGGAGGGAGTGAGATCACCCAGGAGGGGCAGGAGGAGCCGCAAGGGAGGCAAGAAAGGCACTGATGAGGCTGATAAAGGAAAAGGAATCCATGAAGGGGACCAATAAGGGCAAGCATGAAAGCCATGGTGACAACAACAAAAACAGCTTCAGTATGGGACTGGGGTTTGATGCCAAACTGCAGGAGGTTGAGGTTAGGGGGAGGTGGGAAAATGAGCATTACTGACGCTTTTGACATTCAGATGAGAGTGTTAGGAACTGTAAAGGGCTTGGGATCTCATCCTACTTACATTCTAACGTGTTAGCCTGCCAGGTTCCTAGATGTTGGCAGAAGACAAGCATGGTCAGAAACAAAGGAGTTTGGTATTACCGGCACAGCAGACAGCATGAGGTTCATGTTTCTGTTGGCTCCCCTTGTGCCCAAATCCCAGGGGGTAATGGAGAGATGGGCCCTGATTTTACATATAATGGGTTTGTGTCACAGGTGAATGACCCTACTAAGCTTCGTAAATCTTAATCTTTTAGTGGGGGCTACTAGCAAACCTGTTCAACCTTTGCCCCAGAGGGAGGACAATAGCTTCATCATCCTAGACAGAAAGCAAGTCTTCTCTGACTTGGAGGGAAACTCTATCTTCCAGGAATGTTTGCTGTACACACTTCATTGGAAGAAATGGTCCAGAATAAAAGCCTTTACAAGACATCCAGAAATGCCATGGGGAATTGCTCTTGATAGGGTAAAGGAGCAATTGGTCAGGTGACTAGTAAGAGGTAGGGCTGGGATTTGGACCTGGCTCTGTCTGATCCTGAAATGGATGCCATGCTTTGTGTTTCCACGAGTAAAGTATCTAGAGATGTGGATTTAGGTGCAGATGAGTGGGCAAGCCCACCTCTCCAAACCTTGGTTTTCTCCTTTTTACATAGAATCCCATTCCATTGCCTACCTCAAAGATTAATAATGTCTGCTACGTAAATGTCACCTTTGTCATTGAGCGGGGACAATAATAGCTACCTTCCAGGATTGTCGTCAAACTGGAAAGATATATGCACAGTACCTAGACCAATGTACTGTCAATAAGCAGTAATAAAATAGTTACCATTCATTTTGATAAACCTCATCTTATAGGCGTGGTCAAAATCAAGAAGGAAACAGCTATAGCGTCTGTAAGTTTTAAGGGGAAGCCCCACAAATGTTCCACCTTTGATTAAGGAATAATTCGTCAACTGGGAAGATCATGGAAGGAGAGGGCATGGGAAGGGGACCCTGAAATAGGACACTGATTTCTAGCCAGCCACTTCAGCAGAACTGACTTGGCAAACGGTGGGGGCACCACTGAATGGCCAGATATCACTCCCCTCTCATCTCTAAGTGCCTTGGGCATTTCAGAAGATGGGTTTCAAACAGGTTAAGTGCTGATTTCCTTCAGGTTGGGAGTCCTAGCCTGCCAAAGATCAAATGTTAAATCCAAGTTTATTATGGTACCCAGTAAAGACAGGAGCCCAGGTTGGGAACATGCACCTGCCCCTTGTGGGTGAGGTAGTGGACATGATGGTGAGGAAGGTGGGCTTAAGAGTCATGCAGAGTCCTCGTTCAAATGCCAGCTCCGCCAGGCTATATGACTTGAGACAAGTTTCTTAGCTCCTCTGAGCCTCAACTTCCTCAAGAGAGGAGGCCACAATATGGACTTATTTTGCCTTGCACAGGCCTTTAGAGATGATAATTTGTTAAGTACCCTGTTCCATCCTTTAATATCCTAGCTTGCTGGCCGTCTGGGGAACTATGCCAAATTACCATGTACCATGTACTGGGTGGCTTGAACAACAAACATTTCTCACAGTTATGGAGACTGGGAGGTCCGAGATCAGCGTGTTGGTAGATATGATGTTTGGTGGAGGACCCCTCTTCCAGGTTGCAGATGGCCAGCCCCTTGTATCCGCACAGCAGAGAGAGAGCAAGAAAGCGCAAGTTCTCTCCTGTCTTTTCTTATAAGGACATGAATCCCATCATGAGGGCTCCATCCTCATGACCTGTCTACCTCCCAAAGGCCCAATCTCCAAACACCATCACATCGGGGGTTAAGATTTCACCATTTGAGTTGGAGGAGACACAAACACTCAGTCCACAGCACTCACTTAATTTGGACAAAAAACCCTCCAAGAACGTAGACATGATGTCTCCATTTAAATTCGTTTTTCTCAGCCCCCACCAGGCACCTCAGCTCTATGCACATGCACTTGTGTTGTTACCTTTCCTCTCAATGTAACCCTATTCACGGAACAGAGATTATTCAATCTAAAGCTCTAAATCAAGAGTTGGTAAACTATGATCTGTGGACCAGATCTACTCACTGGCTGTTTTTGTAAATAAAGTTTTATCG